GTGTAAAAAAAAAAAAAAAAAAAATCCTCCAACAAACCTGTTCCCACTTCTCTAGAGAATTATACTTTCAGGAGACATCCTCCAGAAGCATGTAGCATGAGACTGCTGAGCTGAGGGAAATACATGGGGGTCATTCTCAAACTAATTTATCTTCCTTTTAACCCTTCAGGACCCCCAGAAGAAATTAGCCCAACATTGTGGAGTGACAAATTGCAATGTGTAGGAGTGTCATGTTTTCTTTGTTCAGTTTTCCTGTTTCAGAGTGAGTGATGTGGACTTGCCAGGTTTCCCAGCATCTGAGCTGGCTTTTCTTGAATCACTATGTGCCTGGGACTGTGCCTTACTTGTGTATCCACCTTTTCTGAAACTTCTTGTCTTTCTGTTTTTTTCTTGTTCCCTTATCCTTTTTCAGCTTCACTCCCCACTTCTGCTGCTTTCTTTGCCTTTTCCAGAATGGTCTAAAGAATGTCTCTGCTGGCAGGACAGTAAATGGTCCGAGACCTTTTCACCCACTAATCGTTCCTTTGTCCTTGCCTTTCCTGTCTTTCCTCCTTTGCTTCTTTCTGTAGTTTTCCTCAGCCATATTGACACCATCCCTTGTGTCCTTCAATCTCACTGCATCTCTCTCTTTGTTTCATATGTGGTTAGAAAACATTCTCTCTAAAAAGCTCTCTGTGCTGGTTACAAGGGCCTATTTTCTCTAGGTGTGCTCCCTGCTGTTTGGATGCTGTACCTGTGCTTGCTTGAAGCACTTACGGTGATCAGTTCTGCCATCCTGCTCCCCACCAGCGGATAGGATGAGTGGGAAGAGGATCATTGATTAGAAGGAGTACTTCATGAGCAGAGCGCTTTTGGCATTTCTCACTAGGTGTTTGCTACCCTTCATCTTTACCAGTGCTTTTAAGGCCTGACGCAATGCCTATTAATTAACCAAGAATTTTTTTCCTGATGACAGCAATCCTCCTCCTCTTCTGTCACCCTGTTCAAATTTGGGTCCAGAGATGGGCACATGCAGTGCAATGAGCACTAGATCTAACTCTTAAAATAACGTGTTCAAAAATACCTAAGTGATATAAGTGCCTGAGTTCAAAAGCTTCAAACGTTTAGGATCCCAAGTCTGACTTGGGATCCTAAACACTTGTTATCTATGTTGTGAAAAATATTATCTATACTGTGTAAAAAGCTATTACTGATTACATGGGCACTGATGCTTTCTTTCTCATAAGTCAATGCACTGACTTGTTAGGAGGAGAGTAGAAAATCACAGTGTTGGGTCAATGATGTGGAGTTAAGATGATGCAAACAATACCTGAAATGAATCTTAAAGTTTGAAAAACCTTGTTTTTCTCAGGTTGTCAATATATATGGCAAAAATGATTTTACCTCTGAGTCCAAGAGTTGTAATTGAGTAATTAAAGACTTAATGAAAAGATATGGATTGTCTTTAAATGAATTAGTGAAATAATGCATCTTGCATGCCTCATTCAATTTTTTCTCTCTCTGAGAATCAATGTGTCCTCCTTGAAATCTCACTTGCCCTTCTTTTGATGTATATCTGCCTTCTAGAGCAAAGAATAGGATTCTTTCACTTACCTGGAGACAGGGCTTTAACTCTTCAAAACTGACCAACTGTCTTAGTCACTGAAAATTTTGGATGTCAGACTGAGATACCTTAGGGAGAGGTCTCTTGTTTGGAATAGATTGAGTTACGCACCATCTAAAATTCAGGGCTATTTAAAATGTCTCAAGTTGAGCATTTGATAGTTGAAGTTTTTGGAGTTGCTAGTTATTTTTGGGATTTAAGACTTGAGGATTCCAGGCAGGGTAAAACCTGGTGTTACCCATTTCCCAGGTTAGCTTCTTGGAGGGTATGATAAATCCATTCTCGTTATATGCATACCAGACACAAAAATGTCCTGTTCAGCAAAAGACCTGTATTAAATGAATAGCTTTTAAGGAAGTTGACCTGCTAGAAAGCTTGAGATGTGGTGCAAAAAAGGTTAGCCAGTCAACAGATTCTACTGAGTCCTCATAAATCTGTTAACTATGGCCATGAAATTCCATGAAGTATCGTGTTAGCTGTGCAGATTTCACTTTTAGCTTTATATTAAGAGGTCATTGCAGACAAAATACAGTAGCTGAGAAACATGTTGCTGCTTCTATAATAACTCTTCTTCTATATTACTTTGTAACTTCAATGTGTGATTCTCCTACTTGCAAAAGACTGCTGCCCAAACCCCAGTTCTGCTGAGGACAATGGAAATGTAGTAGGGACCAGAATGGGCCCTGTAATTTTAATTTGAAACAGTAGAATCATGGAATCATAGAAAATTAGGGTTGGCAGGGACTTCAGGAGGTCATCTAGTTTAACCCCCTGCTCAAAGCAGGACCCGCCCCAACTAGATCATTCCAGGCACTGCTTTGTTGACCGGAGCCTTAAATCCTCCAAGGATGCAGATTCCACCTTTCTGGGTAACCTGTTCCGGTGCTTTTCCATCCTCCTTGTGAGAGATTTTTTTCATAATATCCAACCTAAACTTCCCTTGCTGCAACTTGAGACCATTGCTGCTTGTTCTGTCATCTGCCACCACTGAGAACAGTAGCCCCAGTAGAAGCTCTTAATGGAGTTTCTGAATTCTCTTCCTGTGAGATTCTATGTCTTAGCCTCAAGTTTCGTAAACCAGGTTTATATAAATGTGAACAGTGAACTATTCTGGAAAGAGCATCAACTATATGCTATTTAGGAAGAAATTTTACCGCATGGTCACGTTGGTATGGACTGAGGGGGTGGAGGTGAAGGGGGAGTGGGGGTTGCCTTCCTCTATAGCGGGAGGTGGGAGGCATGGCCCGCTACCCTTGTAGAAGCAGGCCAATGACTTCCATGGTTCCCCTGCTTTACCTGTGGCAGGTTAGGGTGTTATGTCTGTGTCACGTCAAGGTTGATAATAGTCTTGTGTAGAGATTTGTATGGGATAGTTTGGATAGGGATGATCCTGCTTCAAGCAGGGGGCTGGCTTAGATGACCTCTGGAGGTCTCTTCCAGCCCTACTTCTCTGTCTTTATGATATTATAAGAAACAAAACAAACAACTCTCTTTGCAGACCAGACCCTTTGGAAGTGCTGAGCCCATTTTTTCCCCTGTTGATTGTGGTGGTATTTGGGAACATGTCACCAAGGGCTTCATCCAGAAATGGGCCCTTACATGAAGTGTTTCAGAAGGGCCTGAAGGAAAGGACGTTCTTTGCTTGATGTCTGAACAATTTTATATTTCCTTCTGTCTTGAGAGAAACACATTTTGAATTTTGTAAGGTACAAGAATGATAACGATGTGCATGTAAGTGTGAAGATACTATTACCATGTTAGTGTAACAGTAGTTATAAAACATGATCTACAGCAGATCAGAATTTAAAGTTTGGTGGCATCCCAGGGAGTATTTAATTGTAGTTGTGTTTCATTACAAGGCTGTCTTCCTTTTTTGGAATTTATTTTAGCTAATTAGTTGGAAATGTCAGAGTAGTATTTCAGATGACAGAAACATCATATATTATCATACATGAAGCAGTTAACTCTTTTGACAAATATTTATTGTGGTGTCATCTTTAATTAAGTCTCTTGTACTCTTGGACAGACAGCAGGCTTTCCTGTAAAAGGACATCTTCCCTCCTCTATGGATGTGCATTTACGCATACTGTCACTGAGCCTGTACAGGCTTAATGGAAGTTGGCACTGAAAGAGTTAATGGGCCTAAACATCAGGATAATGACACTATTCTACAGAAGAGACTTCACAGAAATTTTGGCCAAAGACCGACAAAAATGTCAAGCCAGGAACTCCTCTGAACACTACTGATTTTTGGATAGTACGCTGAAAAGGATGTATCCCCAGATACTTGTTCTTTGCCCAGATACCATTTACAGAAGAAAGAAATGTAACGTTCTTGTCCCACTAAAACCATCAATATGGGAAAAACCAGAGAACATGCGCTTGCATAAAAGTCTCTCTCTCTTTTTTATCAATGTTTTTACTCGGTTCTTGTGGTCACTCATGTGAAACATGTTACAAATGTGACTGTTTGGTTGGTTCCTTTTAAACAGATAGGTCTCATAGATGATGCGCCTCTGAGAAATAATTTCTGACAGTTATAACTGAACCAGATAAACAGTTCTGCCAGCTACAGAATAACACTGTAAAACAAAAGGGTTCTGCTTATCGTTTTCCATTTCTTCATGCTTGTCAAAGTGTTTAAATGTGCATTACCCATAACAAAGGGTCTCCGTATTACTTTGCTTGTCTGCTGTAGTCATGGATTTAACCTTCTCCACCGCAGGGCCCTCTATGCCATGGTTGTCCACCTCCATTACTTCGCCTTTATATTTTAAGTATGGCTTACAAAGGCGTGCTTGAGATGCGCCACTTGAAAAGTTAGGCTGGCGCAGTTACTTAATACGTCTATGTCTGTTTTACTTTCTTTCAGGCAGAAACAGCACCGGAGAGCGGCAGGGATGGTCCTAATGTCCAAGACACCTCAGGGCAGAACAACTCCGACCCAGCTGGAGCAGGCAGCTCTTTGACCTCACAGAGTTTGGTTGCTCCTGCTGGGGTCTCTGCAGGTACTTCAGCTGCAGCGTCATTCTTCATAAGGTAGTTTTTGCCTTTATGATTATGCAGTTGGTAATGCATGTTAATAGTTGCATGCTAAAGTGGTTTTGACCATGCACCCTACAGAATGGTTCCACATGGGATGCTGGTGGCTGAAAAGTGAAATTAAATGGCCTCTCTGAACTCTGGCCTTGTACGTAGCTGAGAAGTGAGGCATCTCAGTGGAGTAATATTTTGCTCTCAGGGGGGCTTCAAATCTTAATTGGATAACTGCAGAGAATGTGTATATTGATCTCAATCCAGTCCCTAGTGGATATTTCTACTTATAACAGTATGCTGCTTGGTAGGCTTCCTTGGCGCAGAGGCTGAAATAGCAGTAGTTTTGCCTATCTGAATTAAGCTGTGCATCCTCTAGCCATATAGTATTTACTTCATTCATCAGCGTTTGTGCGTATGAGTGAGATACGCATGTAATCCTCCTGCTAGGCGCTGGATGGCGGTACAAGGGCCACATTCAAATGTAGGGGTTAAACACTAACTTTTCAAATTTAGCTCAAGCCACTGTTCAGAAATATGAACAAAGTTCCTCACCTGCAAACAAATGTTCAATTAAAACAGGGTTTATTACAAGGGAAAAGGGGAGCAAACACACACCTTAATGAAAAAAACCCAACTACTAAAACTTAACTATAACTTAAAACAGATCACAGTCACCGGCAAAGCAACTTGGGGAGCTACCACCTAGCTCAGTCAGTTGGGAAGGGAGACCCGCTTAAGGTTGA